CATTCGTGACCTGTACCACGGGGTGCAGCTGTTGACCTCAGAGGTGTCCTCTCTCAGATGTGCTCTGGGTGAGTTGAGTGGGGAGGTGTGCTCTGCTGACTGTCTAGATGCCACACGCCTCGAACAGCTAGAGAAGATGAGGGCATGCATATCCAGGTAAAACAATCTGGGGCATACTAAAAACATCTCAAAACAGTTCCGCGTTTTAATGCATAGACTAAATTAGTCTCTTGTTTTTGATATGAAGAAGACGAGCGAAAGTGTCAACTTCTGCCACAGTGTACAAAAAAAACCACAATTCCGATAAATGTTTAAGAAAGCTGTTGAAAAAAATTGTGTCTGCATAAAAAATTCATATCTGTGAGCCATAGTGGGATACACTATTAAAACTAATAAACGTAGTGAAGACTGTTATACAGGTCTTGGTGATTTCTTTCGTGTTTTTTTTTAATTACGCTGAAACTACTTTGTTAATAGATGAGAAATTTATATTACAAGAAGCCACTTACACAGCCCAACAAATTTCTAGAAAGGTTACATCTCCAAAAACCTGTATAAAAGGAAATACTTCGCTTGACATTCAAAATGTGATTTTTGCTATATAAAACTCAAATCTTTAACTAAAAACAAAGTTTGAACAAGTTGCGCAAATTTTTGGAGATTTAACCCTTCTAAAATTTTGATGGGCTTTGTAAGAGGATTCTTGTAATATAAATTTCTCATCTATTAACAAAGAAGCTTCAGCGTAATTCTTGATTAATTAAAAAAAAAGCCAAATTGACCCATTTTTAGGCTAAATTTTTGGTCGAGAATTTCGGAGAAAAAATTGCCCCATATTAATTCTGTTGAAATTCTAAGCTTTTTTTGTTCTATACCTTTTTTGTCTAAACTTAACCCAATTTGGGAAAAACGCGTTTGAAATTTCAAAATTCGTTCGTTTTGTTCGGTTAATTTAAATCAACACTGTATCACTTTCGAACAGCAAAACGTGACGAAACGAACGTACAGATTTGCATTTATACCTATTGATGCATTTATGAAAGCACTTAAATATATATGGACTTTTTGAGTTCAGTTGAGTTTCATCTGCTGGAAGTGACGTAAATAGCACTCTCCAAATACGAACGAGGTAATGGCGCGAAAAAACGTGAACGATTACTAGTTTCGAAGGTGGAATTTAATTTTTAGATTTCCAGCGGAATAAAAACTTTACCTACTGATCCAATTTTCTCAAAACGAGTTTATGTTATGAAATCTTAAACTGTTCTAGAAGTTAAAGAGATTTTTGAGATTTTTTCGACAAAGTCAGTATTTTTTTACGTTTACTTGCGTTCATTGCATTTTTCCAATCTTCGATTGGCTATGTCTTGAGGTAATCTTAAATTTTTGTCACGCTTAAATTTGACTTTTCGCAATTTGACTTTTAATTTGTCCAAAATTTGCTTCATTTCCGTTGTCAATATCACTTTCGAACAGCAAAACGGACTAAACGAACGTAACAAAAACGTTATCGTTTTCTAGTTTTTTTTTCTGTTTCCTTGCGTTCATTGCTCTTTTCCAACTTTCAGTTGCTATGCTTAGTTCAATGATATATCTAAGTAATTTTTAGGCATGAAATGCATACACGAGATCTGGCTGCAGTAGTGAGGGAGAATGAAAGCCTTTTGCGGTGCTCAGAGGACGAAAAAGAACACTTAGAAACACTTTTGAGGTAAAAAAAAAATAATGCACAAACAATTTAAAGCCCCAGCCATACGCGTGGCACCATGCAGGGTTCCAAAGGAGCCGTAGATAATTGCAGGCAATTCTTAATGTTAAAATAAAATTTTTTCATAAATGACGCGACGTTTTGTTGCATATGTTTTGATTATGGGGACCTGAATTTAGAAAATTTTGGTAATTTTATAAGGGTCGTTAAGAAGTAGAATGTCACTATAGTTACTTGCACCCTATGATTGCTATGGTACTATAAATGTTGCGACAAATAATTTTCATGGTGAAAACTGTCTTGCATAATGGTAAAAAATTGTATTTATTCTAACTTGATTGGTGAAAAAACTATTTTAAGTGTTTTCTAAAAAAAATGTCCATGCGACGCGTGATTAGTCGTTTTCCACATAAGTCATGCATGGATGTGTATGTTTACGTATAAATAAGGGCAGAAGAACGAAGTGATTTTCAATTACATATAACTTGATGACTTGTTGCAGTTTGACTTATCATTTCTTTGTAAGTTCACTTCATTTTCTTGTTCAATAAAGGGAAATCTCACTATCGAACAGCAAAAATGAACATATCAATTGACAGCTAGTTTCAAAAATGGATTTTTTTTTTTGAATTTCCAGCGGAATCACAAAAAATTACCTATTGATCCAGTTTTCCCTAAATGGGACAAATTTATGAAAAAGTGCCAATCAAACACAGCATTTGATATCCAAAGAGCTCTAATGTGGTATTTTATTTTCTTCATAATTCAAAACTTGAAGAGAATGTTGAAAAAATTGATCCTTTTTTCCTGGATTGATCCTTTTTTCCTGGATTGATCCTTTCCGTTCTTCTATGGATGGCAACCCGGGTAACTTACTCGATTGAACGGATATAATTGTGCCGGCAAAGATATTGAAAATCTTGCTATCACTGTCGATTATATGATTTTTTCTGCTCAGAACGTTTTGTTTTTCAATGAAAGGTTCACGTTTTGTTCTGACCACTCTCAACGAGTGGGAACGAACTCTTGATTTGTGTCGTTTTTTTCAAGCCAATTTTGCAAGGAAAACTTGAACGGGGTCAAGGTTGGTATGATATTGAAGCCCTGTAACAATGCGCCCCCCCCCTCGAGAAAATCCTAGATCCGTCCCTGGCCCTGTTAGTCGTGATTTAACCATCTCTCAGGGCCGAGAAAAAATTGGTCTGATTATTTTTAACTTTCAGACTAATTAAGATGCAACTTGATGAGAAGCTGACCTCCCAATTGAATTCGACTACAGTTTCAACCCTTTTTCTATGTTTTAACTGTTTTCATTTTGTCGCTTTTTTACATAACTCAGTTACCTGTAACAAACAATTGCTGTAAACTTTTTGAAAAGAAAATTGAATTTTTTCTTTTCTTAGATTTTTTTTTACTTTTTAATTTCTTTTCTTGAAACTTCTGGTTGAAACATGCAGTGTTACATTCCCAGCAACCGGTTATCCTCGTGATTTTGATGAATTTGAATGATGAGATCATCATTGCGCTGCAATATATTAGACCTGAAATCTTTTTGAATTCAGGGAAGCTCATTTTTCATTTTAACTTTTTCAGCTCATTTTTTCTGATGTATAAGATGACGATCCTCTTCCTAGGTCGCGTGACGAACACATTCTAGCAATTAGGGAGGAGCAGAGACTGCAGATAGTGTCAGTGTCCAATGCAATGGAGATAGTGGAGACAGAGAAGGCCACTCTAGTCCAAATGCGGAACCAGGCACACCAACAATTGCACTGGTTCGTTGGAAAAAAAAACACTGGTTCGTGTTTTTGATTTTTTGTTTGACGAAATATTCAAAACTGTGGGTATTGATCTTACACCGTGGGCTCATATAAATTATGGCGCTCCAACAACAGCTGTGTCGTTGAAAAGGGTTTCCTTTTGGAAATGTTGAAGACAATTTGTTTCGTATGAACTTTCGAAGAATGATAAATCACTCTTTTACAGAGCACCCCTAACTACAACTACACCAATTACACTACTTTTTAATCGAAATAGCCTAATGTGCGCTGAATTTGAAAAATAAAAGCGTTTAAAGCACAATCTTACATTATTATCTTTGAAATTTAAAAAAAAACAAGTTTTAGGGTCTACTCAACTTATAGGTATAGACTTTTCTTGTCGTCAATAGTTGGGTTTTTCCTTCAATTTCAAGGAACTGGTTGCACAAAATAGATAGTGAAAAAGCTTTTTAGGCATGTTTCGACAAATTGTGGCATGGTATTGCATGTAGCAGTAAAGCTTTTTTGAAATCACAAGCCGGTTCGAAGCTGCATGAGTACTGCTATTTGAATTGCCAATAAATCATAACTAAGTGCAAGTAACCAAAGTAAATTGTGCAAGTAACTCATTAGATAAATTTAGCTTAGAAAAACGTATTTTCATACTTGCAGCCTAAAACATCAGCTGGAAGGTGAACTCGAACTGCGTGCAGAGCTCATCGAGGGTCTAAAAGGCGACCTGGAATGGGCAGTGGAGCGCAGTCGACAATTAGAAGAAGACAGGGAGAACTTTCTGTTCGCCGCCCGGAGTCGCGAGAGGGCGCTGGAGTGCCAGCTGGAGGAAATGGGTGGACTTATGGAGGCCATGAGACGCATGGTGTGCACTTGTGACTGTGGCAGACGCATAATGGCTTATGACCACTGCTAAAAATACTGACCACTGCTAAAATTTGTTCAGTACGGGCGTCATCTAGAAAGTATAATATATTTTTTTTGTGATTTCATTAATTAAATTGATGAAAATGAATTTAGAATATTTTAATTTTGAATAAGAATAAAGTGATTAAGATAGGTGGAAATGGTGAACGTGGAAAGGATGCAAAAAACCGTGAACGGTTTCTAGTTTCGAAAGTGGAATTTAATTTTTAGATTGCCAGCGGAATAACAACTTTACCTGTTGATCCAATTTTCTCAAAATGGGTTAATGTTATCAAATCGTAAACTGTTCTAGAAGTTCAAAGAGCTTAAAGGGCATCTATTTCTTTCTTTGAAATTCGAAAGTTGAGATTTTTCCAACAAAGTCAGTGTTTTTTTAACGTTTACTTGCGTTCATAAATCTTTTCCAATCTTCGATTGGCTATGTTTTAATATTGAAAGTTCAATGCGGAGGATACCAGTGGAAAAGGGAGCCTGCAGCTTCCCGATAAATGTAACAAGATTCTTAAGTAGGTACCATAGGGGGGGGGGGGGGGAATTATTAAGTAGATCCTTTTCATAAGCCGCGTGTATTTTTTTCGATATTTTTACTTTTCTTTAAATTTTTGGTAATTACATCAATAAATTTGTTCAGTTCAATTGTTTACAAATATTTAGTTTATTTTATTATTCTTCAGAACCAAATCTTCAGCCTCTGAAGATGACATTGAAGAGAGCTGTGATTTTTTAAAACTTCGACAGTTGATTTAATCTGAATCTTCTGCATCAGCCAGCTTCCATGGTTTCACAGGGAATAAATCGTGACCTGAAGCAATTATTTTCTTAGTGTTTTTTTTTTGCAAATTTTGTGGTCAAAAAGCGATCAAAGGTAATTCGTAGTGTAACTACAAAAATGTTTATCAGTTATTTCTATATTATCGATTGACAAAATGTGTTTATTACACGAGCTGTTTTCCTGGATACCTCTAAAAACACTCCTAAATGTTCTATATATTTTTAAGTGAAAAATTAACGCACTTGGTAAATCTCTGCTAGTCCTTGTTATTCCGATCGACTTGGAAGGAGAAGGAGCTCTAAGTTTTGCTCTCGGGTCATCCCCGCCCGGACCGACTGGTAGTCCGAACATAGGAGTCGTGCCCGAGAACGAGGCTGTCAATTGTTTGCTCTCGGGTGACGACTCGGTACTGTTTTCTCTCTCGGCTTGTTCGTAATTGGGACTCGGTCGCTGTTCGTGTTTGGATAGAGATTGAGTGACTGACATTGAGTTTCTGAGAATCGACTTGACAGGGGATGTTTGGGTCCTAATGAGAGATCCGGTCTCGGCGTAATTTTTCTGCATTTCCTAAAGATCAAAGTATAAAATTAGCATTTTTTTACATCCAAATGTCTGTTTGTCCAAAATATAGACATTTTTTTGAAACCGTCCCTAATAAATATAACGGTGCTCTAAAACTTTTATAACTTTTAAAATGCCTGTCTTAATTTGCAAATTGTACCTACTTTATTTGCTCACAAAAAAGCAATCACTGTTTTGTAATATGAGTCAATCATGTTTTTACGCAGCTTGCGTTTTAAATTTAGATTGTCTATCAAAAATGAATCTATTAAGGAATGAAACAAATGGGCACCTGAATCATCTTTGAGCTGGTATGGTGTCCTGCCGCGGCTTTGTAGCCAGGTGGTGACTTCTGACTATGACTCAGTGGTTGGGGAAGAGTAAAACCTGGGGGAATATTGACCCCTGTCATCGACTTTCTCATCATTTCTTCTCGCTTGGATTGCATTGCTTTTTGCCTACAAAATAGCATTCGATCTTGGACCTTATCAACGTAAAAAAATAGATTATTCATTAACAATTTTTTTAAAAAAAGCAGATCTCCAAGAGTGAATAAAAAAGAATTATAGAAAAAAAATAAATTTTTAAACTAATTGTAACAGAAATGTCAATTTTTCGATGTTTTTTCGGAAATTCAAATTTTTTAGTTTTTTAGAAAATTAGCTCACTTTTTGTCAGCAAATAAGTACTGACTCCTGTCTCGGCTGTCATCATTGTCCAAGAAGTTGTATCTAATGAGATCTGTTGGGTGTCTATCATTGGCCTTCCACGGAGGAGGGTCGAACGAGGAGGAAGTGCCTCCCATCGTGCTACGTCTGTTGCTGCCGCGAGAGGGCGATGCTTCCTCCAAGTCATGGTGGTCACGACTGTGTTTGGAGGCAGACTTCTTCTTCTCAGAAGCTGGTTCGGGATCCTAAATTTCAGCGTCTAGTAAACACAGTTTTGTTAAATTAATATATTTGAGTAATTATCAAGATGCAGATTTGTAGAATATAGATAAATAGAGATTCACAAAAGACTAACTGAGAATCTACTTTGCCGTTTTTGTTCGTTCTTCCATTTGATATACCTCTGCAAAATAAGGTGGTTACCGTTAAAATTACACAGGAATTGAACTGGGCACAAAATAAGGCCCGTTTACATTCGCCTTCCTCGCCTCTCATTTCTTATAACTTATAGGTTATAAAAATATAAGTGTATAGAAAAAGATATTCAGGGCTCCTTAAAAGTTGCTTAAAAAATGACATGAATTTTCAGGTTTACGGCAAAATCTTTAAAAAAAAGATCACACCGATGAAAATGTGCGAGTTTAAGTGATTGCTCCCGGGCAGGCTCGAACTGCCGACATCCGCATTGCTCATACTGTCTATAAGTACGGCGCTCTAACCGACTGAGCTACGGGAGCATGACTATCGTGCAATGGTAAAAAGTTGGGTTGTCGCTGCTGGAACTTAGGCGGAAGTACGAATATAAAGAATCACAAATACAAAAAAAATATCCACAAAAATGTAAAACAGCGCCAAATTAAAAACTTCAAAAACTGTAATTTTACACTTGCGGAACTCACTGGGTTGTTGAGGATGAGGTCCTCGACTTTTTGGATGTAGTTTCTTTTCCAGATGCCAGTTTCGAAAGGGGTCGGTTTGAAACCCAGATCCCATCCGAATCTCAAGTTCTTCGCCATCCATAGCACATCCTCTTCTGTCAAGTATTTCCAGAACCAACACACCTGGAAAAGTTCAGTTTTATCATGCATATCAGGAGATCTACTGACATTCTTGCAGGCTATTTTCCTTGCAGCTCTCTAATATTCTGGAACAATTCATCATTGGAGTTTTTTGATAAAATGACCCTATTTGAAAAAATTGGATCAAAAAGTAAAATTGCCTTTTTTCCACTTTTCACCCGACATTTGAAATTCATTTTTGAAAAAAAAAAAATTATTTTACGTTGTATAATAGTGTAATGAAATTTTGCACCGTGAACAAGCTAAAAATTGTGAACAGATTTGTTCTTCATACCTTACATCGTAACATCAAGCATTCAGCCGTAACAACACTAAAGACAACTGAGAAAATAAAAATTATGAAATGTGAGGGGAAGTGGAAAAGAGCCGATAAAACTTTATTTCGCTAAGAAATCTGAAAATTAAATTCCTTTTTCGAAACTAGAAGCCGATCAGATTTTTGCGCGCCATTTCAGCTTTCATAGCTGGAGAGTAAGTGAATTTGAATTGAAAAATAGCCAACAGACAGTTGGAAAAAAATCACTGAACGCAGGTAAGCAGAAAAAAAACACTGGCTTGCTTTTGAAAACATCTCAGCTTTTTTGAAGAAAAAGATGGTTTAAGGTTCTTTGAATTTCTAGAAAATTTTTATGACTGGCACTTGTTGATAAAAATAACCTAATGTGAAAAGTTTGAATCAATAGGTAAATTGTTTTTTTTTGGAAAAACTGAAAATTGAATTCTATTTTCGAAACTAGACGTCGATCACGTTTTTCGTGATTTTTACATTTTTGCTGTTTGATAGTGGAGATTGCCTTCTTTTCAACAAAAGAAATGAATTGATTTCCAATCAGACTAATTAAAAAATAAACCGTAAAAAAGTTACTTTGAGCTTGAATATTTTCTAAGACTTTTCCTAGAAAAACATCGCGACCTTTGAAAGAGTCTGAACTACGTTCATCGACTCTTACTCATAATTTCACTATATCTAACTCTTCGAAATTAGATTTTTCTAATTTTAACAGGTATAGCGCGTTGCTGTTTAATTAGCGGTGAATATTGCAATCAAGTTTTTCTGGCAATAAAACAGAGTTTTTCCACTCCCCCGTCGGTTTGCAAGATTTGCAAAACTAATTTTACTTTGTGATAATGTAATGAAATTTTGCATGGTGAAAAAAATACTATAGAAAACATATTTCTCATTCACACTTTACATCGCCACATCACACCTTCAGTCATAATAAAACAAAGACGACTTAAAAAATTGAAATGTGGGTCGGGGGAAAAGTTTAATGCAGGGGATCGATCAGAAAAACCCAGATGATTGATCGGAAATCTAAAAACATACGAGCTTCAGGTCTAGCGTCTAGCATAATGATATTGCATGAAACTAGCGACTTTAAGCCGCAAAAAAGAAAAATAGCGACCTTAAGTCGCAAAAAAGTTTTGCTCAACAACAAAAACTCAGTGTGGAATAGAGGGGGAAAAAGAAAATGACTATGCTTCGACAGACTTGATACCCTTTCAAGAATCCTCTGCAAATTGTAGTAAGTTCGATCGATATATTATTATGATGCTAGATTGCAATGAAAATAAATTTCAATAAATTCAAGATAAAATTGAAGACTAAAATTACATTCTGGAAATTAGTCAAAATTTTTTGAACTTTTTTGGAGCCCGAATCTCGACCAAATGTGCTTCAATTCGATACCACATTTGAACCCCTTCGAGTTTTCTTTGAGGTTGCGAGAAGTGGGCGAAAAGCACACTTGCTAATTAGAAGTTTTACCACTGTTTTGTGGTAGTCCCGTGTGCGCTCTTGATATCTGGGTGCCAAAGTTTTGCAACAGGTCCCACCCATTTTAAGGATCAGTTTTGAGGTCTTTTTGAGATCTTTTTGAGGTCTTAAGCATAAAAATTATAGCACCTCCACAAGAGGCTTAATTTTTGCATTGTCATTAAAACAGTCGCTGTGGGCTTTTTGCACTACCCCCATTTTCGGAAATTTTTCATTCTAAAGGCGTGTTAGGTGTAGTTATGGCTAAGCGCGTAATGTTACGGAGTAATGTATAAATAAAATTGTTAGCTTCATTAAATTAGCTTCAGAAGTTGTAAAGTTGCGTTGCACTACGACTATGATAAAGTAGTTTTTCAAAAAAAAAAATCAAATGTGGGGGTAAGTGGAAAAGTGTCTCGATGTGCTTTCAACCATAAGTGCAATTATACAAAACGGCAATCATATATTGTTAGTACTAGATTAAGCGCTGCATAGAGTTATGATTTATGCTTGCATAAATAAACGTACTTTTTCTATTTCACAGAGCATGTTACGTTTTTTTTTTCATTTGATAGAATTATGTAGAGGAGTGCTATAATAGGAAAGACACCAAATTTAGATTTTTCCCCTCCCCCGCCCCTATTTGATTTATAGGCTCGAGTTTTTTTAACGTTGTCATAAAGCAGCCATTGATAAACTAACGGCTCTTTTCCAGTTCATTCCCCTCCCCCCTGATTTTTTTGAAATTCAATATATGAAAGTCTATTTAAAATAATTTTTCATGTTAAATATTGCATCAAAACGTGTCAGCGTGAACAGGTGAACAAAATTCTACAACATTTCTAACATGCAAATTGCCGTGTAAACAATTTTCGAACAGCTTTGTTTTGTAATTTTACGAGGGGGGTGGAAACCGGAAAAGAGCCAAAGTATCAAACTAATTCTCACCAACGGATAATTAGGGATGTGTTCTTGGAGCCGGTATGAGCTGATTTTTTGAAGAAGTAGGCGCCAAAAAGATTAAAACTCGAGAAAGCAAATTGATTTAAAACCTGATTTAGAATAACGCTTCCAGTCATAAAAAAAACTTCTAATATCAGTGTTGTGGAGGTGGCTATGCTTCAACCCTTGCACACATCCCGATCTGGGCTCTTTTCCAGTTCCCCCTTTCAAAAAACCGGGTTTTATGTTTGTTTTACGTGTTATTACGGCTAAATGCGTGATGTTACGCTGTAAAGTATGAAGAGCAAATCTGTTCACAGTTGTCGATTTGTTCACCACGCCAAATTTCATTGCATTATGACAACGTTAAATAAGCTTTTCAAAATTGAATTTGAAAGGGGGGGGGGGAACTCGAAAAGAGCCCCGATCTGGTCCAAATAAAAACATTTGACACTGCACATCTGCACACCTTTCCTACCAATCTATATATTTGTAAGCGTTTCCTACCAATCTATATATTTGTAAACTTTATCAGTGAAATGTTCATGGTAACCCTAAATTCGAAACAATCTATTATAATAATAATATATTTTTTGATACTGTTGTTATTTGTGCACCTGTGAGCATCTGCAGAGACTGCGTGGATCCAGAAATGAGAATATATAGAGAGACAGATGTCTGGGGAGAACTCTGGTGAAGTCCAGTTGTCTGGCCGGAAATGTCTTCTTGAGGTGTGTCTCTGCGAACTGCTTCTGCTCATTGCGACTGTTCTCCAGTAGATCTTGCAGAATAACCACTCTTTGCTCATTGGTCCACTTTTGCCACTGTATAAAAAATAATTTCTCATCTTTGCTTCAAAGTCGATGCACCAAATCTTTTGCAGGAGTTGGTAAAAACATGAATAATTTTTCTTCATGTCAAATAAATCAAATAATCAAGGAAATATTTGATTTATTCTCAAGCACAGACCACAAATGGATCATTAGGGATTTCAAAACATCGACTTTTGATTTAAAAAAAAGGGCTTGAAAATTAATCCTTCCCTCGAAAAGTCATCAACAATTGATCCACAAAAAATTGGGTCCATTGAAAAGGAACCTGAAACTGAAGCAAATAAACCCGAAAAGGGGTCTTCCCCCGACTGCACCTTAAATCTTTTGATCAAAACAGTTTTTTGCTATCATGATGAGTTCTTTTTTTATACTTTTGATTATATGGCTTCTCTGGCTGTTGTTCCGACCATTTGAAAAATGTGGAGGAACTTTGAATTCGGGTGTGTTTTAGTTTTTTTGTTTTGTTTTCCAGGCAAAATAAGGTTCCACAATTAATTATCGGTATGGGTCGAGTAATGTATCATATTAATGCCCTTTAAATCGTGATTCAAACGATTTTATGAAATTTTGAAGAAAAAAGTTATCTCAGTGTCGAGAATTTTCTCAGTGTCGAGAAGTTGATATTTTTATTTTTGTTTTTGACCTAATTTCAAGCTAATAAAGTGAGCGGGCAGGCTTACAATAGCTTATTTATGCTTAGTTTAAACCGTGGAAACTTGATTTTTTTATTTAAAGTTTTTTTTGAAGTTTTTAGAGCCAATGTGGGAACCAAAAACTTCAAATTTAAAAAAAGGTCAGCAAAGAAATTTGAAAAAATTTGGAAACTTATTTGAATTTTTCTAACGATTTTTTTATGATTCATTTTTCTACAAAACTGCTTACTTTACTGTGACTGCTGAATGTGCCTAAGTTCCTTTCTTTGTTCAGATTTTTTTATCACACCACACATAAAAAACGACATCAATTTGAAAAATGGAAGAACTTACCCACTTAAAGAGAAGAGCTCGCCTTTCTTCGAATAACTGAAACAAACATTTTGGCGCTGTATAGGTTACGAGCCAAGTTTGACAAAACAAAAATTTATTTTAATTTAACTCTAAATTCACCCTTATAATTTACCTGCTCGTTTGCAGCCGATCCCTTCTTCAGTGGCGTCCAGCTACTTTTCAGGGCACCAGTATTGTTCATCATTAAATCCCTTCAGATTGGGAGCAGTAGTTCAACAAAATGGCGCAAAAATTGTTTAAAACACAAATGGTTAGCTGAATAAATTTGATCTGATATAACTCATTGTATCATAGATTGTTTTTTACAGCTTAAGGGACTGACTCATTTTTGCTTTACACGGATGAGGCTTCAAAAACGCACGTGCAAATTTATTATACTGTACTGAAATTTTTGTAACAGAACCATTTTTTGGTACAAAATAGAATCACAGATAGATCCGATATATGTGAAAAATTTGATTACATGCGATTCAGTGGCATGGTTTTTTTCAAAAACTGCTGCAAAAAGCATGCAGCTCGCGTTTAGCTATAATAATTAAGTTAATTAAGCTATAAGTAAAACAACTATAAAATAGAAAACTTGAGAGAAAAGAAGCCAGTTTTGATAGCCTTACAAATCAACAAGGTACATAATATAAGCACTGCACTGGTCTGCTGATTGTTGGATGTTGACCTTAGTAAATTTTCCTTTTTCATGAGAACTTGATCTCCTACTGCGGCTAAATGCGTGATTTATTGTAAACAGCAACAAAATAGTTTTTTAACATTGAAATTCAAGTATATGTGAAAGATCGGGGGGGGGGGGGGGGGTGTGTTGAAAAAGTGTTGCATGCCAATCTCAAGTCACCTCGCATGCCAATCTTCATGACAATTCGACTGCGTGAACAAAAATTAAGAAATTGACAAATCACAAATGGGAAAACGGCATAAAAGTCAATAGCGGCTCTGTTCCCCCCCCCCCCACATGCAAATTTTTATATTTGAAGTCACTGTTCACTTTGTCCGATTGTCATGAAAATTGACATGCCGACTAATTAGGCTATAACAAACATATTTGGTCTTCATAATTAACCTTGAAAAACCACTCGATAGACCATAAACTTCATATTTGTGTGAGGTGGGGGGGGGGGGGGGGTTGAGGAAAAAGAGCTTTGATAGCTTCGGTAAAGTCATAAAATACTAACAAAACTTAATGATAATACGCTCTGGCTTAAAGATACCAGCAGGAATAGTAGCGGACTTTGGAGGGGCGCACTTTCACCTCAGGGGTACGACCCCCTGCCGACTCAAAGGGTCCCCCTTTATACTATGTTGAGATCTCAAGTTTTGGCTGAACGACCCTAAAGATTGAATTTCAGAAAAAATCAAAGTGGGACTAGAAAAGAGTCGGGGTCTTACGAGGTTAAGTATGAAAACCACGTTTGTAATGGCTTTTTGTAACAATCGGACAAAGTTAACAGAAAAAAATTATTTGTAAAAGTTCGCATTTTTAAATTTGGTGGAAAAGGAAAAAACCCCAATATATACTGATTTTTGATTTTGAGGGGAAAGAGTCCGCAAAATAAAAAAACGCTTTTCTTGGCCCGTTTTTTTAATCAAAATTTTGCTTGCGACGCTTAAATAGAGTCTTTATAGTAATTCGTGAGAGCTCAGAAAACATTTTGGCCGACTAAAAACTTTTTTTTTGAGAAAATCGACTCCCCTCCCTCTCTTGAGAAAATCCTAGAAATGCCCCTGAGCTGGACCATTGTTTTTTTTAAATTAACCATCTAAAAAACGGAATAGTTTTCGTAGGCAAAGTAAATTGCCCATCAAAAAACTGTTTTTCAAACGCGAAACTAAAAATTTTTCAGGCCATTATTTGTCCCTATTTAAAAATTGTTTTTTAGCGTCCATTTTGACCAACCAACTATCGCTAAAACTAAACTGTCTAAAGGCGCTTTTGGCAAAAATATACCAATGTTTGGTCAAATTTTTCCAAGAAGGTTCCAAGAAGTTTGACTAAAACGCATACAGTTCTAGAATGATAGCGTTTCATGCTGTTCTCAGAGAGCTTCAAAAACGTATTGTGTTGACCAACAAAATGTCAAAAACTATTCATTTCTGTTATGAAAATCAGCCTGCCTCTCAAGAAAGTCAGTTATCAAAAAAGTTGCCATATGGACTGAATAGTTCAATCGAAACAGGTGCTGCCCAGAACTTTATCGTCAAAATTTCTATTTTTGTCATAGATTGGTACAAAGTAGCGTTGAAGATAACACTCAGTTAAAATATAATGATAACAAAACTAATAAATATCCACTAGTGACGAGATTGTTGAGAAATTTATATAAAGTGTTAGAAACAGATTGCTTAGAACAAAGTCGGTACAATATGAAAGGGTCCAAAAAAAATCTCCCTGCAAGTTCCCGTACTTAACAAAAACTTGGAAACCAGATCTGAGCATCTTAAAATCTTGCCTATTTCAGATCTTGTCCTGACATGGTGCATGTTTCGTTTGGGCATTGACATTTCTGAATCAGGACTGAGGCAGGTATGGATTTTCTCACAAATGCAGACCTGCTCAAGGCCTGATTCAGACCTGGAACTTACACCGGGGAATTGGCGGTTGTGATAAACTGAGAATTGAAAACGGAGTTGACGGAATATTTGTGCTCGGGGTGGTTTTTTTTCTTCAAACAAAGTTCGACTTTTTAACCAGCCATTTTTCACGGAATTTTTTTTGTCAAGCTAAAGGTATTGTTGTCCTCAGCTAAAATTTGAAAAAATGTTTCACCTGTAATTTTTTTCGTAAAGTTTTGGGGGTTCAAAAATTGCCATTTTGGCCAATCTGGGACAATAAACGCGCGATATATTTCGCACTATTAACGCGTAAGCGGAGAGTTAATCCGTCTTAGAAATCGTTCCAAATTAGTTCAACGAAGCTTATTTGCCATAATTGATTTGTTACAAGTAGCGAAATCTATCATTTTGTACTTTATATGGCGTGTGGGGTATGCTTTTCAAAAAAAAACTCAATTTTTTTTCATTTTTTTCTACCTTTAAATTTTTCTTCACGTTATTTTTTGCTTCATAGACCTTTAAAAGCAGTCGAAACACTCAGGGTTTTGCCTTGGTACGAGCAGTCTTGTTATCATTATATCTTTGCAATGATATTCCTCTGATCCTCACAAAAAGATTATTCTTCAGTGGCACCTGAAAACAGGCCGCTAGCCTGATAATGACCACACGGAGCGGTGCTATGACACTTACTTACCAAATTGTTTTTAGAAATTTTTTTAAATTTTGTATTTTGTTCAAGTCCAATAGAAATTTATCACCCATCACTGTCGAAATAAAATGGCTAACTGCGAGAATGTAGAGCAGAGTAGGCTGCTAGATAAAATACGCAGCCTCCAAAATTTAAATCAATCAATAGTTTGATATCAGTGAGGTTGTTTTTTTAATATATCAGTTATTTCCTTTTGATAAAAACAAGTATTGAGGAAACGTTTGGGATTTGTTTTCTTTCCACAAAATTGTTTTGGCCCGCGGAAAAGTCAAGCTTTCGGATATTCGACCGTTTTGTTTTAATTTTTGACTTTTCTCAGAATTATCCTCTCCAATCTGGGATTGAAAATAATTAAAGAAAATAAATAAAGAAAAAATAAAAAAAGAAAACTGGGATAGAAAATAAATAAAGAAAACCGGTAGAAATCCACCGGAAAAAACTTATAAATCTCAGTTTCTGTAGAAAAATAGAAAAAGTTATTTTCGTCGAAAAAGTCACTCTGAAACTTCAAAACGGTCAAAAAGTTTGTGACTTTGCTCAAAAATTACTCTGCCAAATGCAATATCAATGGTCAAATTGAGATTCTGAAAAATTTTCCTGTTTGGAGTACTATGCCTGTAGTTTTTCAGAAAAACAATTGACCGTCAGAAAAGTCAATTTCGAATTTGAATTTTTTGAAAATTGACTTTTCTAGAAAAGTTCAGTTCATAGATTATGTTCCAATCGAGAAACCCGGCTGTGTAAGGTTCTTTACATGCTGTCTTTCTATAAGTGAAAAATAACTGAAGATTTGGAAAAAGTCCAATTTTTGAAGAAAATTACCCATTTGAACTGGATTCAGGACAACATATGCATTAAAAAAACAGATAAAAGTATCTCTTTATCTGGGCCCTTGGTTTCAAATTTATGTTTCATATTGCGATGAAAATGACAGTGTAATTGTGCTCATTTTGATTTCTGCTCTCAAATTGTTTATGTTTGAAGTACCATTTTTCAGAAGAATGTTTAATACCATATGAAAATTGAAAACGTTGATGCCAGAATTAACTTGAAACAATTTTTTTTTACCTCTTCAGCATTAAACAATGTATATCACAAAAATAAATGATAAGTGTAGTTTTTGCATTACGTAGAGGTTCATTGAACGCCTGTCTCAGCATAGTCCATTTTTCTTCTGCCCCTTCTATTCATATTGAGTTAATGAGCTCAACGAAGCTCTTTTTTCGGTCTTTTTTTTTTACATAAGGCCGTCTTTTTTGTCAAGAATTTTCACTTGGCACCACTAATGCAGCCGCAAATGGTCAAGCGGTGTTAGATTTGACGCTAGAGGTAAAGTAAGATTCACACACGATCATTACCATGGCAGGGGACCGAATACACGATCTGACGATCTGAAAGGAACCGCCTTACCACTCTGCTTAGAATCTACAACAGCTGTTGACTGAACTACTTTTTTCTCAAAACAAAAGATTCAAATAGAATTTGTCAGAATTAAGGTTTTTCGTAGCTAAATTGATCCATTTTGAAAGCTTTCAAATTAATTAGATTCGAATTTTAATTTGAAAAAAAAAAACTGTCGGAGTATTAATCAAATATTTTTTTTACCGCTTATCGTTATCATGTCAAGTCAAAGCTGAAGATGCAGTCGAAGTTTACGAGTTCAGATGGTTAGCTTCTATTGTATATATTAAATATCAAACCTCAATTTTTTCCCATATAATTCCTCAGTTGTTAACATCATTTCCAGATGAGTCACAGTAAAATAAATCAAGCATTGGTTTGAGCAAACACCATAACGACAAAATTATTGTTCCGACTTTCGTAACAAAAGTAACGGAATATTTGTGCTCGGGTGGGTTTTTTTTTCTTCAGACAAAAATTCTAGACAGATTTTTCTTCAGACTTTTTAACTAACCATTTTTGACGGGAGTTTTTGAAAATCAATTGCCATATTTGAGTTGTTACTCGGAGCGAAACCTATCACTTTGCACTTTATATGGCGTGTGGGAGGATGAATTTCACAAAAAACCTCAAATTAAAAAAAAATATCATTTTTTTTATTATATTTAATTTTTTCATGTTATTACTGCTCCTTAGACCTTAAGAGGCAGTTAGAAC